CTTCTACGCCAATGAATTTTCGATATTTTTGTTATTTTTTAGGAAACTTATTTTACGTTGATAGAATATTCCACGGGTGGAAATAACCGACCGTACGCCTATGGTGGCGCAGAAAATAACAAGACACATCGATTCGCGGCTTCGATTCAATCGGAATCTTCAAGTATTCCGCCCAGCACGTGCTCGAACGCCACGAACAAAGCGGCGATAGAGAAAAACGCCCGTGACGGACGATTGCTCGACCATCAACGGATAAAAGCCCATTCGCACTATAGATAATAACGCAACCAAGTCCCAGTCAGTCCTCCATCATCAAAAGCTTGTGTTCCTTTTCAAAAAATTATTATAATCATACAGGGTTTCTATCTACTACTGTGGAATATTTAAAAAAAAAATAAATTTTGAAAAAAATAATTGCTACGACTTTAAACTAGTTTTCAATTATCTAGAGAAAAATCCTTCATCATCAAAGGCTCGTGTTCTTTTTCAAAAAATTATTATCATTATACAGGGTTGTTATCTACTGGTGTGCAATATCAAAAAAAAAATAAATTTTGAAAAAAATAATTGCTACCACAAACTTTAAACTAGTTTTAAATTATCTACAGAAAAATCCTTCACCATCAAAGGCTCGTGTTCTTTTTCAAAAAATTATTATCATTATACAGAGTTTTTATCTACTGGTGTGGAATATCTTAAAAAAAATAACTGCTACGACAAACTTTAAACTAGTTTTCAATTATCTACAGAAAAATCCTTCATCATCAAAGGCTGGTATTTTTTTTTCAAAAAATTATTATAATTACATAGGGTTTTTATCTACTGGTGGAGAACATAAAATATTGCGTGGGATAGCCTGTAGAGTTCCCATCACGGGTCAAAAGTGTCCCAGCCCTTTTAGCATCTCAAGGGTTAAAACGCGTTTGAAAGAAAAAAGAAATTGTTTCCAAATTTGTCCGAACTACAATAATCTCCATTGTCGGGGCCGTAAAGTATAAAGGCAGATCGGTGGCATTATACGGCGGAATTGAACATTGGATCTCGCCCAACAAGAGATCATTAGAATTTCATCGTGTCGCCGGCGAAAACGAAAAGCAGCGTCAGTCTATCATTTAGCCGTCCCCCGGTACCGGGAACAATTCGAAAACATATGCTCCGTTGCTTTTGGTGGAACTCAATAGAATATAGCAAAAGGCGTCGTCGGGCGAGAGAGAAGGCGCATGCAAAGGTTTCCGTCTACACAAGCAGAGTCGTTCCAGACGCGCGGGTCTTTCTTGACTGGAGCAGATGCTGGAAATCAGGCTCGCCCTTCGCGCACCCCGGACGATCGGCGTCGTCGACCCTCCGGGACGAGTGTACCGAACCCGACGTCCAAAATAATGATACGATACACGAAGAGAGGAAAACGGGCTGACGAGCCAGCAGCCCAAGAGAAAGGTCGTTCCATCTTCGGGGGGACTTGCCACGAGGGGCACCCGTGGTCCGCGAATCTCATCGCGAGAAACTGGTATCCCTTCCAAATTTGTTACTCCGGCGTACTCGGGGTCGTCTTTCTCTATCCGTTCCGATGGTCGTTGCCTCGCCGTCATTGTCCAAAGGCTTTTAAAGAAGACGCGCAGCTGCTTAAACGGTTATTTAATTGTCAAACGAGAGGACACTCCTCCGTTACGAATTTAAAACCCCCCCCGGACGACCTGTCATCGAGCCCGCGCGAGCCAAAACTTTCAAAAAAAAATATCAAAGTGTACCCATCGACCCCACAAAACTATCTGCTTCGTTTCTCGATACATTTCAGTTTGGTTCGACGACTATACGTACGATTGTTTCAGAACCTAACCTAACATGACGCTATTTCTAACATAATGCTTTAAAAAAAGAAATCAAAATCTCCTATCAACTCTGGAAAACTATCAGTTTCGTTTCTCGATACATTTCAGTTCTCTTCGACGACGATACGTAACACTGTTTCAAAACCTAACCTAACATGACGCTATTTGTAACATAATGCTTAAAAAACGAAATCCAAATCTCCCATCAACCCTAGAAAACTATCTGCTTCGTTTCTCGATACATTTCAGTTTAGTTCGACGACTATACGTACGATTGTTTCAGAACCTAACCTAACATGACGCTATTTCTAACATAATGCTTTAAAAAAGAAATCAAAATTTCCTATCAACCCTAGAAAACTATCTGTTTCGTTTCTCGATACATTTTAGTTCTCTTCGACGACGATACGTGAGATTGTTTCAGAACTTAACCTAACATAACCCTATTTCTACATCTACCACGCAGCGGGAGAGTTCCAAGTTTACCAGTCCATAAGCTTCGCAGTTGCACGCTGGGAGATTTCTTTTTTTAGGAAGAACCGGCCGCACGCGACGCTGATCATTATTTATAGTGATGGACACTTCGACATTTGGATCGAATCTGTTCCAGTGTATGGATTTATAAAACTGAGAAATATTAAAAAGCAAATGTTTTTATAAATCTGTTAGCAGTCCCGTGCGATGGGAGAAGGTGAGAAAAGTGCCAAAAGTCACACCAAGATCGGTGACCTTAACGACACTTCATTGACGTTGTGGGAATAGTAATATGTGCGAAAGTTACTAGAGAATCGCATTACGTAACGCCTGGACATGTTTGATTCGAGGTTACTGACTCTACGTCGGATTTCAAGTTTATGTAAATCCGATCGAAGCCAGACAAAGTTACAATTTTATTTTTATAATTCCATTCTCGAACGTCCAATAATATTTACGGATCTTCGGCAAAATCTCCCTACGAACAATGGATTTCCCCTTGGCAACCAATAAACTCGAAGCGTCCCTAAGAAACCCAATCACGCATTTCCTGTCCTATTCTGTCTGTGCCAAGTAGCATCCTGCGTCAGAAAGGGCATAACAACGTTTCGTAGATTAAAGCATGAATTTTCTCGGAATCGTTCCCAACAACTGGATGGGAAAGTCCGCCTGACTTTTTGCCCAAACGCGTGCCGGCGATCTTCATTTCGTCACACGTGGTCCCCCGTCTCGAACATCAATAGTCTCCGACAAAAAATAAATGCAAATAAACGTAGATACAAGTAAGAGAGAGAAATTTAACTGTTCGATGGAGTGAACGTCTCGAATAAAATGCTAAACGTTGTTCTTAGCAGTGATTTATAAAAGTTTGCCTGTCTCTGATCTTCTAATGACCCAACTGTTCTTTCCTCGAGGCATGTATCCGTGTCCAGTCTAACTCCCCGACGGTCCGCCATTAATAGCAGCGCACGCAGCGGAATGCTTGCGAAGTAACCACGTGTTTCAGGCTCGAAAGAAACGCTGCGATTTCCGTGTTTCACGCTTTTAACGAATCTCCTCGTCCTCTTCCCAGGATCTCGCCTAGGTGCGAATTATTCAAAATTCAAGGGGCCTCTGTTGCCTCTGTCCACGACCTTGATTCCTTTCTTTTTTATATAAACGTTATCTTGCACCGTTCAACAGGCTTGGAATCTCGACTTACCAGATCTACTTTTTCTATTTTTTTCCTATCTAAATATCATTTCGAATGTAAGAAGCCAGGTATCGGACCCAACGCTATTTTTAAGCAACACGATTCATTTAGCACTTCAGAAAGAAAAAGGTTGTTTCAAATCAATCATAACCTATTAAAATAAATAAAATATACTTTCGTTGAGCATCGAGGATATAAAGCTGGTGTGACAATCAACATGTTAATAACATGTTAATCAATTTTTGCCACGCGATTAAATAAATATATTTATTTATCACATGTATTAGATAAGAATTTTGCGCATATCCGGTTAACGATAGCGTATGTAGTTTCATTGGGACAGAAGGGGTTAAGCTAATTCAGAAAATAGTTAACATACCGGCGACCAGTTAAAGGACACAGACGCGAACTCGTCCGGACGACAAACGAAATAAACGACAAGAGAATTCTCAACGGGTTCGATCCGAAACCGGGTTTAAATCTCCTTAGTCGAGAACGAGTCCCCGGCTATAGACCTGCGAGGAGATGAGGCCCCCGGAATATACGGGCCCAGTCTTTTCCCTCTGGCTTCGGGCGATAAACGAGCCTAAAGCGGGATATCTGCTAGGCAACAACACGAGGGATCCTCGAAGGTTTCTTCGAAGGTGCCTTCTGCTTTTCTTTTCTCAGTCTACGGTGTTTGTCTCATCTACGTCATTTTCAGAACGCCACAACCTACTGGGTGACTTTTAAAAAATATTATCCGTCACTCACAGACTGGACGAATTTAAGAAGAATGCTGAATTTTACTTTCAATTATTCGATAAGGATCTAATATTAAATACTCGTATTTGGATAAATGATTTATAAATTTTATATATTTATTGATATCTTTCATGTTGACGATTACCTTAGAATACGATTTTTCTTTTAATTAGAATATGTATTCGTGTCATTGCATCGATCAAATTCAATATAAGTTGTTGAAAAATAATATTTCCGCGTTCTGCAATTTTAAATATTGACGGCTTCCGTAAATCTAGCGTTAAAAATAAATACAAACACGTATCGGAATACGAAGGATATGGAAACGAGTGCAAGGCGAGTTGGCGTTACAATCTACCCCGAGATAAGTCAGCATCCTTTGATATCGACGCAGAAACTGAGACTTCCGTTACTCCGCGAGCTGCGGGACGTTTGTTGCCTCCCGACGCGGAACAGCAACGCGCGTTTGTTTTGCTAAACACGCGAATAGTAGCGGGCTCCTTGCTCGATGACAGTTTGCGCGAGATAAACCCGAGGACCGAAGATAAATCGAGGTGAATTTGAACAGGCGATAAGTTTGCAACGAAACCTAGAAACCTGTTTAAACCGCGGAAACGAGATTACGAGCTGTTTACCGTTTACGCGATACTGAACTTCAAGGAGAGCCGTTGTTGTCCAAACAGAAAACGTCCCGGATAAAATGTCAAAATTTAAGGAAAATAGAAACAAGCGAGGTTCGGTCGAAAAAGCACGTTACTTACGCTTCGGTGGGTGGCGGAGAATAAAAGGACGAGTGGTAGGTAGTAATATCCACGAGCTTCGCTGGCACGAGCAGTCCACTCGACACTACATCCATTCTCACGGGTAGTCCTCCAGAAAAACTCGCGATCAAGGGCACCTGAATTCTTCCGAAATATCTCAACTCTTCGCGTACTCTCTACGTGATAACACCGCGATACATCGTCGAAGCTTTCCCCCGTGTACCGATCAAAACATCCCAAACCCGGTAAGTATACTCTTTGCACCAGCGGGAGGCAAAACGTTCGGTAATTTCAAGCCCTGCACGCAACCATGTTTCACGTTTCCATGTTCAATGGAAAGCCGGTCTCTCTATCGTCGCTCGCGACGCGTCACCGTTCACGATGGAAAAGTTCCCACGAGGCGCGCGAAAACATAAGAACTTCGATGCGCCTCCTCTCCCTCCTCGACGATCTTTCGTAACAGTGCACCCTCGTGGTCGTTCGCGCCACACCGCGTATCCATGCACACACACGCGCGGCCAGCGTCGGGTCGAGGGTTCCTTGCCGTCGACGGGGTCCTCTCGATCGCCACGGTCGATCGTCGTTATCGATTCACACGAGCTTCGTCCGTTGGAGGAGAGGAAAAATTGTTTGGGCGCACGCGTCGCGACAACGTGAAAGCGTTTCGTTGCGTACGAGAAAAACAGGGAGGCCCCCCGTGGTGTCGTCCGACCGTGTTTCGAAAGAAAGTCTCCGCGAACTGTTCGGTATCACGGGAACGACGCGCGTTCCTGTCTCGAGTCTCCTCCTGTGCTGCCCATTACGCGGGAAGAACGGCGAGATCCGTGGCGGGTTCGGTGTGTGGTCGCGACGCGCGCCCAAAATCGAGCAGAGTCGCGCGTAGCGGGTCTCGACAGATCGGCGTTTAGATTTGAACTGAAGGTACCGGCTGGCTGGCAAGCCTGCGCGGACAATCCCTAACGTGCTCTGCTGCTGGGCTGTTGGCAACGTGTTCGGTGGAGGGGGAAGGTACAACCACGGTCGAACCGAGGGCAGGGAAGGACAGGGGGAGTCACGGGACGGGGAGATGGTTACACAGGGCGCGATGAAACTCCGTGGCCTGTCCCTGCAAGTTTAACGCGCTTGTGTTGGTTGGCTTACGGTGCGCCCTCGGCCGTCCATAGTCATTCAGCTCGCGGAGAAAGCAGTCTGAACGGGCTGATGCTGCGACGAAAGCTTTTTTTCGTTAACCCTTCCTTTTCTCTTTTTTTTTTTATACGCCCGCGGGACTAAATGATAGCCCAATCAACGTTTCTGTTTGTTATCGTAGGGCGAAATTTCTATCGTGATTAACACGCGTACGATTCAGTAGAATGTCTCACAACTGAAGAAACAGAGAGTTCCATGAGTAATTCATCGCGCTGTTTAAAATCAATTAAGAAGAAGTTGGGGATATAAAAGGAGATTTAAAAGATTAAGCCCTCGGCGTAACGATATACCCTGGGTCTTCTTATTTTCGGTGTTATCGAATTTTTTACCTGTCCCAATAATTTCGTGGCTCGTTATGGCTGTTCCCGGGTACGACTTTGGCGGTCGGGTGTGTTAATACTGTCGTCGGAATGTAGATCGAACGACGAGATATCAATTGGCGAGGAGGTTAATTGTCTGTATCTGCGGAGTAGATGGTTTTGTTCGCGTTACGTTGAATAAATTTGTTTATCCGAATTGTGTGTTTCGTTTACTGCCAAAGTAATCGTTGCTGAAACTGCATAGCGACGCAGAACATTAACCGTTTATTGGGTCGCCGATGGGTACGGAGGGCGCATTAATGCTCTTCCTACGCGTCTCGTGGGCGTGTGTTGGTGCCTACTGGCGCCCCCTTTGGCCACCCATAGTCATTCAGCTTGCGGACCAACCGGACAACAACGTTAGAATGTAAACTTTTATGTACGGCTGGAAATAATCGGAGGATTTCGGGCCTGGTGAACGAATGGAATATAATATTTTACAACACGAATATAAATACCAGAAAAGGTAACGCTGTATAACAGAGATGGCCAGTGGCGTATTATACTACAGGCTGGAAAGGAATTTGCCTAGGGCCCTCGATGGGAAATTACCCCTTATACATCATTGTCTCGAAATATCGTTGCCATTATTTTCGAAGGGATTATTATACGTTTTACGGAAAACGAAAATTTAATTTCAGTTTTTTTGATATTCAAATTACTTAAGAAATATTTTCTTTTGATTCAAGAGGCTTCCTTCGGGTAAGACACTCTGTATGTTGTGTCTACAAAAGATAAGGAAATGTTAAGTATCTTAGAGTAGCACTCGATACGTTGTCCCTTGATGGATAATTGCGTCATTGCGTGTTCGAGATTCCATCGGGTGTGTGCTTAGGAAACTTTCGAGTGCAGGTTTAATGAATGTGTAAATACAGGCGAGCAAACATTCTATTCTGGTTCTTTCTTCCTATCGAGGACTTCGTCGAAGCAGTGAAATAACCGCGTACGATTACAATCGCTCCCCGCTATCCGTTTCGATCGAATTAGCTGACGGGAGGAGATCGAAAAAAAAAAGGGGGGGCCTGTGTAAACAGGACGCACAATAAACGAGCGTCAAAGATTGTTTTGTTTCGGAAGACTGCGCCGCGGAGGTCCGCCATACTTTCGTGCGGAGGATTTTGTAAGAGCATAAAATTGTACGTTTGAACAGAGATACGAATTAAATTTAATTTAAATATAACCAACGAATTAATTTTTCAACGAACAACCGTCGGTCCATACTTTCTATCCCGATTAAAAATAAAATGGCGCGGGCAACGAATGTCGATTATCGAGAAAATCTCTGGGGTTTCACCAGCCACGCTCTGTACAGACATGATTACAGATCTCGTACGCGAGGGATCGTGCAGAAAATAGGTTGAAACGCAGTGTGGGTCACGAATGCATGTTCAAGAATATCGCGAGCCCACGAATACACAGCGTGTATCTCGATACGTGGGAGGTACAGCTGGCTTCCAGGGACGTGGTCGGACTTCGGAAATAGAAAATTGAAAATTCGTGTCCGACGAAAGCACGTCCAACGAGCATCTTAAATCTCAAATTACGTAAAAAAAAAACATCGATTAAACGAAAGGTTACATACAATTACCGGTGCTCGTCGTTCAGTTGTTAAATGTTAAAAAAGATTTTGGAACTGTAACCTAGAAATAAGATCGTATACGTTTGAAAGGAATTCTATTTTTTTTATTTTTGCGTACCGAATACAGTGCAGTGCTTCCCACATATTGAGAAACAGCCTGTACAAACGTGCAACGCTCCAGCCACGGACATCACGGTGGGAAAGTATTCGCGAACAACGATGCAGACGCACCCTGAGGCGTGCACCGAGCGAGAAGTATTCACCGGTATTAAAACTACGTTCTCACAGGCATCGCGTCTGTCCTTTGTTTCCAAAAACACTGGCTCGTACCTCGTTCGTTTGCCCAAGGAATCGCGACGCGCGCCCCTCCACGGGACCTGCGCGCTGCACGATGACTTCTAACCTCCTCCTAGCCACGCGATTTCGACAAAATCGGCCCGAATAGTGCAACGACGCTGCAACGCCATCTTACGCGCCACGGTGGCAGTTACAGTTTTACGATCGCCGAGGGATACAGTGTTTCTGTTCCGACACCTGTATTTGTACCGAAAAAACAACGGTCTCGGAAGCGACAAGACTGTTCACTGTTTTCGAATCGAAGTCTTTGTTCGATAGAAACTGTTTGAATCGATCGTCTTTGATTCGACATGTTTGAACACGCGTCGACAAACTTTGATGTTGCTTGAAGTGGCTGTTCCACACACGTGTATCCATACATTGTATAATTACGTAATCTATGGACTTTAGATTTGTCTACGAACGGAATCGCGTTAACGATAAGCTCTTATAATAAAACGTGTTGCAAGATTAATATCGATTATGAAACTCATTGAACCTGTTAATAATAATATCAATAAAATAAATGAAAAATTAAAATGACTGAGATTGCCATTCTAACCGTAGAATGTTTACATAAGTAAAACGTCTTCGTAATTCTGTTGGGGTCCCGAGACCGATCAGAGTCGAACCAAAACAAGAGTATCCCTATTTCCTTTTTAACGTGACCTCAAGATTCTTTCGAAACGATTTTTCGCTTTATTCCGGCGCGCGCTACAGCTGCTTTCACGAAACAGGAAGTTTTTTTTATCGCCGGGAAGTAGGAGCTTTAGAAAATGTCACAGTACGCACGCGTGTATATAGTTTTTTGGCGTTATTAATTTGGTCCAAGGAACCATGCAGTGATTTAAGGTTTCCCGTAACAGAAATTCGATCTTTTTTTTCGTAAATCCATCGCGTTCGATAATGTCCACGATCGTCGAATATTAATTATTTACGCTAGTCATGTTACGAGAGTCGATCAAAATCTATAGTAATTATTTCTACGCCAGGAGAGATTTAAATTTCCCGCGCGTGTACCATTGTTTATAACGCAACATATTCGTAATCTTTACGCGGTGCTAACGTCATGGGTGTCCCGCGTATTACGCTACAAAAGAATGGACGGTCCCCGGTGGCGAATTCTGTTCAGTCCGTTGAACAGGAAGCATGGCTGCCGGGAGTGTAGCTTTATACCCACGATCGAATTTAACACTGGGACTAACAAACCAGTCAAAATGACCCATTCGTAATTTCTAATAAAAACTGTGAAAAATTTACTCGACCGAGTTTTTGGAAATTTTCTATAACAGAATGAATAAACACTTATAGTGTTAAATCTCGAATTTTCGAAGCAGATAATATATCAAGCTTGAGATCAAAGTGCAACGAAATAAAAATGTTCGAGTTAGAAATCAAATTTTTAACGATTAATAGATAAACAGTTTCATTTTACACGTTAAGTTTTTAGAATATTTGTCGAGGCATTATCAAGACACCCTGTACGTCTCTCTCGAACGTTAACACGTATCAATGTCAGTTTGCTTAACCTCGGGTGACCTTGAGACGTCAGAAAATGCAACGGTCACTCGGTACGAGGAAAATATTTACAAACTGTCCCGCCTAATCTCGTAAGACGTATAGGTTAGATCACGGTCGACGGATGGCTACGAACGATTCGATCGTTCGTAAATTTGTACATTCTAAACCGGTAAAACTTTTCTGTATTCGTGGTCACGTGTTAGAAAAAACGCTGGTTCGTAATTGCGCGACACACCCGGTGTGTTGCCGTCAGGGCCGTCCCGGAGAAAATTAAAATCCCATTCAAGTTTGTCCTGTTCCGAAAACAAAAGTCCCGACCGAGCCCTATTTACATGAAATCTAGCGGTACCGATTCGATTGCAAGAAAAGGAGGTAGCACTGTGTACGAATTCCTCGAATCGGTCCAGCGAGCTGCATCAACTCTTTGCACACTAGCGACGCCCCTACGGACGGCGCACATAACCTAAGCCACGAAGCGAGTCGAACGAATTCTATGCAAGATAACATATTTCTATAGGCGTTTATCGCATTTCACGAGACGCGGAACGTTTAATTCGTCGCGAAGTTGATCGCGTCGCAAAATTCTCGCATCGCAAAGGGTTAATTCCGTGTGAATTGGCCTTTATTCGCGGTCGTTGCGTCGAGCGAGGCGCAGCAACAAAAACGAACGAAGAGGAAAAGGTCGAGGGGGTGAGAGGGGGGCGGGGCGGGAGAAGGTATGGACGGAGAAGGAACCGAGGAGGAGGCTGGGGACACGGAAGAGAAGAGAAAACACGAGGCAGACGAAGAGACG